GGGGGAATCTGAGGGAGGTGACAGGAGGGCAGGTCATCAGGAGCCCCAGGATCTGACCTGGCTCTCAGGGCCACCGAACTGCCACCTACAGCCGGTCCTGTCACTTCCCCTCTCCAAGCTCACACCTCCTCACTTGTAACATAAAGGTTTGATGGTCACTAGCAAACTACACAACTAGAGAAGCTCTTCCAGGTGGGGGCCCAGGGGGACCTGTGAGAGATTTCACAGGGAAAGAAGAATCCTCAGTGAAAAGGTCAAGTTGGAAAACACCAGCCTCCATCTCTGGACCTCCTCTTGGCTCTGAATTCAGCGATTCAGGCAGACTAGGGACAAATCTCTTGATGCCACCAACTGGACCTGGGCCTCTTTGCTTCATTGTGAGCCAGGCCGTTGGATTTCCCTTTACTGACAGCAGGGTCGGGTAGAGGGGACTGGTGATTCCTTAAGCTTGAAAAGCAGGGCCTTCCAGGAGGAAGTCTTCAAAATGATCTGAGAGAGCAGAACAGGTTTGTTCTGTTTTGCCCCCTGAAGAGTAAGTGATCAAACTGTGATCCATCCCCAATTGACCATTCGTTCATTCATCCCTCCTCACTCAATAAACCGACTGAAGTTTCCCGTGTAGAGATCTGGGCATAGAACTACGGAACAGCCAGATATTGTGTCCTCAAGGATCTTAGAGTCAAATAGGGGGTATAGGAAATGGGCATGAATAAGAATGAGCACAGAAGGCAGGGTGCCATGGGAAATAGAAAGCTTTATGGGAAATGGGATATTTAGAGAGCAAGGGAGAGGGATCAGGGTAGAGTGTAATTGGAAGGGATCATTTCATGCAGGCCTTAAGGGAAAAATTGGGCTCAGGCCTAGAATGGAAAACATTCCAGGCAGAGAAACTTCTGCTGGCACGGAGGCAGGAAGATGGAAAACATGTACGGCGAACGATGAATAGTTTAGTTTGGCTGGAACCAAAGTTTGGCAAGAGGAAGAGTGGTTGGAAATGTCGGTTGGGTGGGTGTCTTAAATAAACACTGTCTTTGTCCATTTTAGTCTTTCCAAGGTTGTATCACCTAATTCCAGATGGTGAAATTACCAGCATCAAGATCAATCGAGCAGATCCCAGTGAAAGCCTCTCTATTAGGCTTGTGGGAGGCAGCGAAACCCCGCTGGTCCATATCATTATTCAGCACATTTATCGTGATGGGGCCGTCGCCAGAGACGGCCGGCTGCTGCCAGGAGACATCATCCTGAAGGTAGAGACCATGGCTGTGGAGCCATCGGGGGGCTTAATGAGAATGACCTGAGGGCAAATAATTGGATCGGTGGATGAACAGATGGGTGGATGGATGGGTGGATAAAACACTAACACGTATGTGAAGCTGTCACTTCCCATAGTTATTGTGTTGATATGACTTCATATGAGATTTGTAATTTGAGATCAGTCTTTGTCCTTCTGTCTTTCTCATTCTCGCTGTGCATGAATATTTCTGTCTCTGTATCATTTTGTCTCTGTCTTCCCCTCCTTCCTCTTCCTTCTCCTAACTTGTCCTCCCCTTTCTCTACCTCCCCTTTCTCTCCTCTTACCCCTTTCTCCTACTTTAAGTAACAGAAACATAAAACTAGAGTATGTATCTCCTTAAATTGTTTTTAGAGCAAATTACTGAAACATTTTGTATTTTATCTAATCGCTCACATTCACTTACTCCTCTAAAGTAAATTTTCTATAGCTTAATGGCCCGTCAAGGAAAAAAAAAATCCCTAAGTTATTCTGCCAACCCACAGACCCTCCAGGGGAGGCAGATGGTGGAACAGAATGCCTTGGGCATGACTGTCCTCTAAGGCTTGGTTAAGGGGAAGGATACTGGGGAGGGATTTTCAGAAGACAAGAAAGGATGAAGGAAGAGTTGTTTATCAGACAGAAGTCCACCATGAGCCAAAAGCGATAAGAAATCCCTCCCTTGGTCTAATTTCCTGTCTGATACTCGGATGACAGTTTCATCCCATCCCTTCTGGGTTGCTGAGGGGCCAGCTCCTGACACACCATGAGCTGTTTCTCTGGCAAAGAAATTCTTATTCTTTGGAATAAGAGGAGCAAGAATTTAAAGCAGTTATTGTAGAGACACTGATATTCCCACTGGCCTCGGAGGTGGAGTACAAGGCAGGGCCCATCATCCTCGAGGGGCAGTGAGCTGTGCAATCAGCGACTCTCCACACGGCTTCCTCCCAGTTCTATGGAAACTATGCTGCCTGGGAGGGTTGCATAATAATAGATATTGATTCTCGTGGCCTTCAACTGGCACTTGCAGGCAAATGAGCTGCCAAGACTATTTAGAAGGTGACCTTGACTTTCTCTTGGCCTGGGTACGATGGGGGAAACCAGACACAAGTTAAGGTGACAGAACAGAGCAAGGTCCTTGAGCTCACCTGGGCTTGGACAAAGGCAGTGAGCCTTGTCTGTGCACACGGGAGCCTCCATCCATCCCTGTGGATGCAGCAGAGGACCAGCAATGGCTGCAGGAAGGCTCATGAAAGTCTCACTCCAAGACTGTTCTAACTGTTGGCTGCACGTACAAGAAATCTTACCAAACCATAGAAATTCAAGAAGGTTGTTTCTCTTCTGTGGGGGCCTCCTTCCTTAAGCGCAGAGCGCAGCGCTGCTGTGAAATTGTTTTCTTTCTGAGCAGTGACCACCTCGAGGGGCTGAAGCCTTCAGGCTGGGCCTGGGTAATTAAAACCAGAACGCCCCATGCAGCAGTCTGCAGATCATCAGTGAGGCGCAAATGAGAGGGCCAAGTTGGAGGACATTTAAGGAGCTTAATAAAGTGATCCAGCCTTTTACTAAAAAAGCCTAGACACTTCCATTCATATCAGTTTGTCTGGAACTGTACAGAGATTTTTTTGTTGTTGTTTTATTGAGAACATGGGCAAAAGATCTTGTAGGCGACCATCTTGAGACTTGACATACTCTCACATACATACACACTTTCCAACACACAAATATAGTCACACACACACACACACAGAGTAGTGGGGCCTGGAAGTTCCAGTATGGGTGACCCAGGGAGAAAAATTCATTGGGAGATTTTTGGAAAGAAAATGTCAACTGAGTTTGATTTGAACAGCAGTTTAATGTGATCATTTGAACTCAGTGGGCAATTTTCTTTCTTCTTTGGCCTTTTCCCACTTTTTCTTCCTTTTACGCCCCCTTCAACTAAAAAATAAGTTTAGCAAGCAACAGAAATGAGGGTTAAGACTGTGTAAATAAATTTGAGGTCATGTGTGGGACAAGGCTGAACAAGGATGACATCTACGAAGACTTGGAATGTGTGCAGGTAACACTCGAGGCAAGCAGGGTCAGAAGTCCTGTTGGAAGATGGGGATATTTGGACATTTGGGTGGAGGATGAGGTGATAGAGCAGAGTGGCCCTTAAGGGAGGGCCCCGGTGATTCTGTGGCGGGGCCTCTTAGGAAGGGTTGGAGCTGATGGCGTGGTCACTCCTGATTCTGAGCTCCCCTCCACCCAGGTCAATGGGATGGACATCAGCAACGTGCCTCACAACTATGCCCTGCGCCTCTTGCGGCAGCCCTGCCAGGTGCTGCGGCTGACCGTGCTGCGGGAGCAGAAGTTCCGGACCAGGACCGACGGACAGCCCCTGGACACCTATGGACCCCAGGGGGACAGTTTCCACGTGATTCTTAACAAAAGTAGCCCTGATGAGCAGCTTGGAATAAAACTGGTGCGCAAGGTGGATGAGCCTGGGGTGTTTATTTTCAACGTGCTGGATGGTGGCGTGGCAGACCGACACGGCCAGCTGGAGGAGAACGACCGCGTGTTAGCCATCAATGGACATGACCTTCGGTACGGCAGCCCGGAAAGCGCAGCTCATCTGATTCAGGTGGGTCATTCCTAGACTCCAGTCAGAAACTGGCGGCATGGGTGGGAACGCTCATCACCCTGACCTACCTACCCCAATTCCTACCCCATGTGAGTGCCTCCCTTTCGAGGAGTCAGGAGTGAAGGGCCAGGTAAGAACATGACTTGAGCAAGTGATGTGTCTCAGGGTCATGGCCATTCCCTTGATGTTGCCAGTTGTCCAGTCTGACTGCCGGTAAACCCACTGGGCTATGGGTTGCAACCTCACCTGGTTAAGGTCACTCAAGGACACAGAGTTGTGTCATCCCTGTACACGGTCTGATAGTTGCAGACCCAGGGGTCACCCCGATACATTCTGGACACATCTAAGACATCCAATTGTACTAACTCCCATAAGAAGCTGTGCCACGTGCCCTCCAGGGATCCTGTGGACAAGAGACTGCCATAGGATTGGCTAAGGCTGAGCCCTGTCTCCATGGCTAAGTCCAACCCCTTTGGAGAAACCATGCGATCTCAAATATGAACCCAAGGAAGCCCCCCCACCAAGTAAGAGAGGCATACAGATTATTATTACTCAGTCAAGGTAGGGTTCATGATTGCCTGAGATTGGTTCAGACTCATTCAATCTCCTGACTGGCGTGGTGCTACCAAGCACCAGCGTGCATCTTGTTGATTCTTGCTGGGTCACCATGAGTTTTTCTAATGTTCACTGAGCTGCCAGCTTTATTCTAAAAGGGACGGGCTTTGTTTTGGACTCATACTCTCACCCATTTATCCACTTCACTTAGCCAAAATGTGTTGTACTTTTGCCACTTGCCTAGTCCTGGGTGAGGTGCTGAAAACAGGGAGGTGATGATCTCTTAGGCTGCCCTCCCAAAGAAGCCTACGCTCTAGTAGAGGAGGTAGATTTTTTCTAAATGACTGCTGTGTGGTGTGATAGTATATAATGGAGAAATTAAGTATAGTGCTGGTGCAGACAAAGGAGAGATTTTTTTTTTTGCTTGGATGGGGTTAAAAATTATTCACAGAGGAGGAAAATCTTAAACTGGGGCTTCAAGGAATGTGCAGAAGTTCTCTAAGTGGACGAGGCAGGGAGGGTCATTCTAAGGAGAAACAACCCGAAAGAATGTTTCCCCAGAAGCCAGTTAGGGAAGTGGTTAATACCTGGAGCGTGGTGTTCATGTAAAAAGCAGCGAGAGATAAGGCAGGGTGGTCAGCAAGGGCCAGATCGTGTGGACATTAAGAGACACGCTAGGGAGCTCACACTTTATCCCCAAGGCCATGAGGTGTCGTTGGAAGGGTTTAAGAAAGGAAGTGATATAATTTTCTGGAAAGATCTTTCTAGAGGCAGTGGAGAGCTGATAAGAGAGAGGTGAGTTTAGAGACCTTGTCTTAAGACGCATTTGTAATTACCCAACATGTCATGTCAGCTCCCACTTAATGACTAAAGAGTTAATACCTCAAGAAGAGACAGAGTCAGCAGCAGTAGTTGACTGGACCTTGTGCCAAGTCCCACAAAGGATGACATTCAGAAGTCAGAGGCTGCCCTCAAGGACTTGACGATCTAAGTGCAAACAAACCTCCCTATCGTTGTGTTCTCGTCATGGACTTCTTCCTGGTGTTGGCAGCTCTTTTCACTGTTGTGTGTAGTATCTTAGCCCTCTTTTTTGAGGAGAACCAAGTAGTGGATGAGATTATTGTCATTTTAGATGTGGGAAGCCTGAGGCAGAGGGCGCAGGGGACTTGCCCTGCTTCTTCTCTCTGCCAGGATAGGAAGCACACGTGGTGCTTTGGCCCCTGAGCTGGGGCTTTGAGTGGTGTCCAAGTTCCAAGGTGCTTCTCAACCTAATGGACATCCATCTGCCCTGCAGGGCTGAGGCCATGCCCTGAGAAGCAGGAGGAGAGCAAAACCAGAGTTACAAGAGGCATTCCCCTTCTGGAGTGTCTGCCATCTATTCCCGAATTCATATTCCTGGCTCAGCTTCTCCTCTGAACGCCGCACTTTCATATTCAACTGCCCACTTGATATCTCCACATGGATGTCTAAAAGGCATCTCAAATTTAATACCCAAAAGTCAACCCTTGGCTTCTCCCGCCTCCATGCCTAACCAGACCTGCTCTTCCATCAGTCTTTGCACATCTGTAGAAATGATGCCACCATTTACCTAGTTGCTTGGACCAAAAAGAGCCTTGACTCCTTTCCACATCCCCTCCCTGCAGTCCATCTCTCACCATCTCCATGGCTTCCATCAGCCAGGCCACCATCAGCTTTGTCTGGGCCACCGCAGGAACCTCTTAACCGACCTCTTTGCTTCCAAACTTGGTCCCCACCTCTGCTCTCCACACAGCAGTTAGAATGACCACTTTACAAAGTCAGTCTCACCCTATCATTCTCTTGCGGTCCACCCTCTGATGCTTCCCAAGACACACAGGTTAAAATTCCAAATCCTTACCGTGGCCTGCAGAGCTGTACCAGTCTGATCCTGAGTTCTCCCTCCAACCTCATCTCTTAAACGAAGGGAAGAATTTCTGGCATCCTGCCCCTGGCTCAACCAGGCTCAGTCACACTGCTTGCTGTTCTTCAAACACTCTAAGAACTTCCTCAAGTCAAGGCTGATCTTCTTGCTGTCCCTTTGATTGGAAGACTCTGCCAAATGTCTGCATAACTCCGGTTCTTCATTCAGTTCTCTCTTCAAATCTCACCTCCTCAGAGAGGCCCTCCCTGATGATTCCACTTAAAGTAGCATCCCCCACCCTCAGCTCCATATCCTCTAATCTTCTTTATTTTCTACCAGCAAATTATCTTGTTATTACCTGGCAGTCTAGTATAGTATATTACCATAGAGTATTATATCTCAGCACTTAGAGAAATGCCTGGCAGAAATAGACACTCAAAGATTTGCATGAATAAATGTAGTCACATTATAAAAGTGTGTGATTATATACAATTTACACATTGATTCCATCTCATAGGCATCCTTTTGTCAAACCATTTACCAAAGAACAAACACCAAATTCACATTTACACTATCCATCCCCAAGGTAGAATCTCTATTTTTCTCCTCCTTGAATGTGTTCAGTTATTACTGGCTGAGCACCTTCTAAGTGCCCAGAGGTGTGTAGCACTGTGGTGAACAAGACTGACACAGTCCTGGCCTCGCAGAGCTTGGAATACGTTCCCATCTCTCCCAAATACAGTCGAGTCAGCGCTGAGCAGGTGGTTCTAGCCTGTGTGCCAAGGAGTGAGAACAGGAAATAGACAGTGTTTATGAAAACAACTCATGGGAAAGGGAGAGTCCTTGGGTTTTTTCTTCATGAAGAAACTGCACTCTAAGCATGATTTTTAAAAACCAGACTCTTAGATGACCATCATTTTTTTCCCCTGTGTTCCATTTGTCAACTCCCTCTGTAGGTCAATCAGTGCAGCTCACGTTCTAGAGAAAATCTGCCAACTATCCTTTGCAACAGGCAAAAGAAAAACTCCCTTATTCGTGTCACTGGGAAAAATTTTGATGACCTATGGCATTCTACTTTTGTAGATTAGTAACAGAAGAGGAAAAAATTTTTTCCCTGAGAAAGTTAATTGATGAAATAAAATCTTGCCTAATAGTGGGATTTCCTAAAAGATTTTTCTGCTTACCAAACAAAGCCAATGTGCTTTATAGGTAGCGGAAGATGAGGTGAGAGAAAAAAAGCTTGGGCAGAGCTAGTTGGAAAAGAAATGGAGGGGGAAGGATATAGTTCAGTGGTAGAGCACATGCTTAGCCTGCATGAGGTCCTGGGTTCAGTCCCCAGTACTGCCATTAACTACATAAATAAACCTAATTACCTCCCCACCAAAAAGTTTTCAAAGATAAAGAAATGGAAAAGGTAGACTGCTGGGCAAACTCAGTGAAGCAATCTCAAGCTTGGATTTCATTTATGAGATACTCATAACACACACCAGGCTGGAGGGATTAAATTAAATTCCCTTCAAAGTTGAGACTCAAATTTCCACCCAATCCTTGGCTGCATTGGCCTTGTGCATCCACTCCATGAATCACACTTGCCTTACAAAGGAATTCCCAGACAACATGTCCTTTTGGTCATGTTTTCTCCCACAGTACTGCACATTCTGGTTTTTTTCCTACATTATTTCAGGGAAAAGTTGTTACAGAGAAGCCACAACTGTTTTAAATTTGACCATCATTACATCTGTGAGGCCTTAACCTCGACTTACTCAGCAGCAGCTCTAAGTGTCAGACCCCAGGGTTAGAGGAGTGTGACCCAAGATGTAAGAGAAACCCTAAGGAGACAGAAGCTTCAAATATGGGGCAATTTTGCCTTATTTAGCAACTTAGTACTACTTTATTTTTCTCTGCTGTCAGTTTAAGTTTTTTGAGCGCCGTGACTAGAATGACTATGAAAGAACGGCTTTGTGGAGCTTTCTGGTGTCATACTGAAAATAATAGAACCAAGAAATACGGACTAAAGAACTGAGACCCTAAAGGGGGAGAAAGACACCTCAGCATCCCAGAAATGGGAGGTTCAGCATATAGCTACCCAGTATGTAATCTGAGAATGATTTCCGCTGAGAGTTAGTCGATTTCGAGATGTTCTCATCTGTCCGCCATTCCAAATCAGTGCCTTTGTATTTAGGAGTTCAAATATATACAGTGAATAAATGCAGGAAGCAATGGTGGGTTTCAAAGGTGAGGATCTCTTTTGTGCCTTTTTTCCTTAGCCGACTTCCCAGACTTGATACAGAAATTGAAATAATTCAGAGCCATTTGTGGAGGATGTGATAAGATGGGTTTTCATTAGTACCGGCATGTGTGATTCTTGTCCTTACATAAATTCATAATTAAGTGAGAAGCTATTTCACCAAAGAACAACTCACAACCAGGTTCTTCAGACTTTTCAAAAGAATGTGATAGGTCTTTAGACAGAGCCAGAGGTTAAATAATGGACAACTCACGTTACCTGTATTTGTTGTAAATACGTGATTCCAGCTCATGAGTCCTGTGACAGAACTTTTGTGCC